AGTACTGTACTTGGAGGAATAGATTTTATATCCAAAACGTACCCTAGGCATATATGCAATGCAATAAATATTAGTAAAGGAAGTCAGTATAGAGACGTTTTTCCTTATAAGTTGATTCGGTTTCTATTATACAAAGCTATTATTGTCGTACTAAGCAAAAGACACTTCAAATACAAAGCAACTATCAAAGTGTTAAAGGATCGCTTAGAGGCGATGTCAATTCCCTATTTGAAACGCGACATAGATGTTAAATATGTTTCCAAACTTCCAGAATGTTTTCAAAATGTTTGCATGCGTAGAAAAATGGAGATAAAAGAAAAACGTTCAAGTACATTTTAGATTTCGAAATAAGACTTTTTTCTAGGTATTATAACATCATTTTTTTAATGTGTAATAAAGATATCATATAAAAATCAAACATTGTTCAGGGTTATTGATTGGACTTTTGCCACTCCGTTTTTATATTCAATTTGAAATTTTAAGAAAAATATAAAATAGAAAAGTTGTACATATTAAAGAATAGTTTATTTTAAGATAATATAAATTGACACAGAAACCGCTAAGAAAACATCGCCAAGAGAACAGCGCTAAGAAAATGGCGCCGAGTGCAGTGGATAAGTTGATCTTGCCTCCCAACTTACCTTGTAGATGTAAAACTATGCCTGTGAGTGGTGTAGTGTGTCATGAGTGTGTCTCCTGTGGTTCGCTACTTCATCGGCGTTGTGTGAAGGTTTTGAGGGGCGTAGAAATAATTGCAGAGGACAAATTTGTTAAGTCTATAGTTCTTCTCTATACACGGAGATAAGTTACTTGAAAAGCAGATCTGCCAGGAAAAAGATCTGATTATAGCTGCCCAAGCTGAGTTAATATCTTTGAATGAGCAGTAAGACAACAAACTTGACGTGCTGCAAGACGAGACCATGCAAGTTTGACAAACATCGGACCAATCATCGGACTCATACGATAAGTACTTAGCCTCGCCGCCTCATGGCGCCACTATCGCACAAACAACAAAAATTACTATCGCGTAATCAGTGCGCTAATTTTGTCCATCAGTGTATATAATTTCAAATTTCCATACTTATATTAAATACTTTTTGCATTTGAAAGCAAACATTTCCAACCTACAAATATCGGACCAACTCTATCTTATAGAAAATTTTATAACGAACAATTAGTATACATTGTTTTCCTAAGCTACATACTGCAACAAAGTTATACGCAATTGTTTCCGAAAAATAACGCCATTTTTGCATTTTTCATCACTTTTTCGTTGTTTATGCAAATAGCACACCTTTTCAAGCTGGCGCACCTCGATATTTTCAAGCCTCATCCCCGAGCTATTCCAATAGTTATCTAAGTTACGTCACGTTAGAGCAATCCCAAAGTGTAACACTCCAGGCCTATAATGTCGGCTCCTAAATTGACATTTTTGGATGTCTACAGTGTGTCGCACTTAAGATGGAAACCCCCTATATTATATTTATTTTTGGAAGCAGGGTTTTCAATTTCGATACAGAGGTAGAACGTCATGAGCTTAATTGGTTATGGTACTCATTTCTAACTTCACATGAAAACCCAGCCTACTATGACTTTGCGAATAGGGGCAATTCAATTTCAAGTCAAAAATAAAAATTTGACTTTTTTTTCTCATTTTTACGCGAAGTCCGAACGCACCTTCAAGCCTGATGCACTTTTCAATGCGTTTCCGCAACTTCGAATTCCATCACCAAATAATCTAATTATTTCTATTTTCTCTGTTAAACTGAGATGTTTAATAGGCATTTTGTCAGCTCACTGACGCAATTAATGTCAAATTGACAATTATTAGAAGCGGCTAATTTATTTCCATGGCTCTCTAGTGAATACTTTTTCGAAATTAAAAAAAATATATAGTGTGTTTCATTAAAAAAGATGGTATGTCAATTTCGACATTTATGTGTTTAACATTTTTTATTTTAAATTCAGATTTAAAAAACGAAAAAAATTGAGTAAAACTAAACAACTTTTGTGTTGGTCACTTTCACTATTTTTTTTGAAATAAACGATCTAGGGGGTGTCAACTTATGAGGAAACACCCTGACATGTATTATTTTGCTCCTTGATAGACGATGCAAAGTACAGTRGGGTGGGGCGACCAAACTTTGACATGATAATGAAGTGTTTCATTATTGTTTCAAAAATATCATGTKTCTTTTATTTGTTACATTTTTAAATACTATACATACTTTTCTTCTCTTTTCTTATCATCGAGAAAATTCAAAATTGACGCAATTA